TTCATTGCATTCAAGAAGAAGTAGCATGGGTACCATGAAAAACAAGATGGCCGCCAGTCGGCCATATTTGTTCGAATCACGAAAAAAATATGATGTGCACCTATAACTCAATATGTATGATCACCATACCAACTTTGATTTAAATCAGCCCAGTCATCTCTGAGAAACAGCTGTGGACACGTTTAGATATCAGAAATAGCAAATTTTACATCCAAAATGGCCGCCAGTCAGCCATTTTTTCTCTGATCATAAAGTAACTTGGCGTGCATATGTAAGACATTATGTTTTGTCTTCATGTAAAGTTTGAATGAAATCCGTCAATGGATGTCCGAGATATAGCTCCGGACGTACGAACGGAATGAACTCAAATTAATAGTGCCGAAAGTTACCGCAAAATCGGCGTCATAACGAAAACACAAACAAGATCCCAGGGAATACACGAAAGAAGCCAAAAGTTGATTCAAATATCGTCCGCAAGCCAAGAGTATGATAAAAATAAACTAACTAAGGGATGTTTTATGGAACACCAGTCTGATGTAATTTACTGGTGGTTATGGAGCCCTTACTGGTTCACACACTGGAATAGTCAAAACAAAACAAAACAAAAATAACTTATTAAGGTGTCATCATGATAAATAACTTTTGATTAAACAACATTTAATATGTATATATCTGTTTTACATAATAAAATAACAAATATATTTTTTTTACAATTTACTACCGACAACTGCCCTCATACAGTCAAGGCAGTCAGTTGAAGTGACTTCATTTCTTATATTGTGACACAATGCATTGTGGTTAGATAAAAAGAAAAACCAGTTTTAAGTAACCAAAGATACTTTATATACTTTATAATGTTGTGAAAAAAAACAATTGCAGACTATGATAATTTTCAAAGTCAAGTACGTGGTCTATTTTGACCAAAATTGGAGGTGCTCTATGAATACTGAAAGAAATAAGACACTTTGGTTGGGTTTTACAATTAAAAAGTACATTAGTTTAACAACAAAAAGTAAAAGAATAAATAAAAATATATTTACAATATTGTAACACTGAATGTAACTACCCATCTCTATCTAGCAAACATGTATTGCTCTACTCCAATACAGGTTGTGGGGCTCTTTGATAAATATAGGCGTCGCAATCAGCTTAAAAACACAAATGATTTATTTGAAAACTTCAATGTAAAAAATTTATATTATAGATTAATTGCCTTTTACGAACCTGAACAATGTAATTTGTAATCTTCCAACACGTCTTCACACTTTGATCAAAGGCACCAGTGATTGGTGTCAAAATTATTGCTTATTGAATGATCGACATCATCTAGTTTATCAGTCAATGTTACCAGAAACACATCAACAACTAGTTGAAATCGATTCTGGTGCACCTTTGAATTATTTATACCTTCTCCATATATGTACTTCTGCATTTATTAACATGCACGATGAAGCTTGAATTTATAACGTTGTGTGTCCTGTTCAATATGGGTCCCATACGACATACAGCAATGCATATGGAATACATTCTGTGTTTACATACAATGTGCACTGTGCAGCAACTGTGGCAGTTTGAGACTAACTACAAAAAATGTATATCGTACCATCTGGCGCTTCTAATAGTGGAAATACAAATCTTCAAAAAGGTAATTGAGACAAGTCAAACAATGACAACGCTGACGCTGTCGCCAACACTGACGACGCACTGCTTTCAAACAGCACAAGCTATATTTTCCCACCAGGATAAGAGGTTCACATTAAGAGAATAGCATCCTCTAAGCTACTCAATAATATGCTTACTTTGGATACTTTTTTTTTTCTTGACACAGAACTAATTTGTTTCATAGCAAAATAATGTAGACACAAACTATAGCATATACACAAAGTAATACAGAAAGCTCCACAAAGTATGAAATAAATTTTTTGAAACTTGGGAACATGTCAAAAACTAAGTGAACATCAAAATTCTATAACATCAAATTATACATGTTTTCATCTAGTTACTTTTTTCTTCATCAGTGTTGTCAATGATGTACCTTTCACACACACTCCCATTTGCAGGTCAAAGTTCAAAGATCAAAAACCCTGCCTTTCCAATCACTCACCACAATTTTGCAGGTCAAAGTTTAAAATCAGAAATTTAACAAAAAAAAAAACAAGTCTCTAAAAAAACATCAACTTACTGATTGTTATGGCAACCAACCAAACAACAAAAAGACCATCAGGTTAAAATACCAAAACTTAATTAAAATACCGAAAGTAAATATTTTATGTTTTTCGTGAAACAAGTTCATAATAAAAATAAAAGATAAAATAAGACCAAGAACAAAAAATGTAGGAAATTAGTTTTGGAAAAATTATGAAAAATAACCTGTGAAAAATTCCCAGAGATGAAAATTTGGTAACTACTGTGTAGCGCTTACTGTGCATGTTAAAAACAAAAAAAAACAGATTCAATTTGTGAAGGAGAAAATAAAGCAAATTGTGGAATATCAGGGTCAGCAAATGTATGTCGACTATTGCTAAGGTTATGTGATGAGGTAATTGGTGTCTTCCTCTTCTATTGAAGGCATGGTTGCATACGACTGGCTTCGCCGAGGAGTATTGACATACTGTGGGCAAGCAGCAGTTCTCAAGTCAGGGTAAGACAATCTATTGTAATGCCTTGGGGATCTTGGCTGAAAAACAGAACGGTTGTCCTGGAACACAAAAAAAAAAAGAGATACTGGGATTAGAACAAACAACGATGATGACAATACTACGGACATATGTCACACCTTCCATTTTCATGTACTACAAAGCACGTCAATATATTCTGCCATCTTTGAACAAAATGGTGTAGTTGTCATAGAAACGTGGTGATGCAAACATGAAAAGCATATGACTTACACTATTGATAGAAAAGTTATTTGGTCCATTTTCCTGTTTACTCGGTGCATGGAAGACACATAACATTGCCCACATAGGCAGCATTATCTTAAAAATCTGCAATAAACCATAAATGGTACAATTTAGGCATTTCTTCACCCCTAGGTTGATTACTAACAACAAGTCATTGAAAATGACACAGTCCCCGTTAAATTTTTGAAAGTTCTCTTTGTGCTCGTCATATTAAAGCGGAGGGGTTGTCGCGAGTGTGTCCTTGAAACTTGAGTCCCAAGTGGCAAATACAACAGATTTACATCAAAATCATACACGTCTTGCGTGACAACCCCTCCGGTTTATAGCAAAGAAAACCTAGATCACAAGTGAAAGTAAAACAAATTGAGGTGCATGGCCGAGCGGGGACTAATAACAGCGAGAGCTGAATATCGTCTAGTGAGGTCATGAGGATGCAAGTGTCTTGTTTTGTTCTTAATAGAATGATATTTATTGGAAATTTATAAATATATATAGTATATATACAGTATATTTTAAAGGACGATGGTTGCCACACATTTTGTGTTCAAATTTCGCGTAAACAAAAATGTATTTTACACACAATGTGTAAGTTGCCATGAGCCCCATAGCTCAAATTGAACAGGGTGTGGCGCGATGACCACCACCCTTTACCTTGTTGTACCATTTGTTTACAAATAATAGTCACAAATACTTACGTTTACAAAAGCATAAACAGCTGTGTAGACGGACTGCATGTTATTCTGAAATGTATAATAATCCCACACAAATAAGATACATTTTGGTAAAACTTATTATCTTATCATATTATTGCTATGTATCATATTGCTATAATTCAAAGGGAATCTAATTTAAGCCAATGCATATTCAGTTTTGTAATAAATCAGTTGATTTTGTATTGTAGGTCCCCTTTGAATGTTTTCAAAATGTTTGTAAAATATTAAAAACGCATTCTTCATTCATTCATTCATAATGGACAAAATTCAATCAAGATATCTCTGAGGGGGAAACAGATGTGTATTCAACTTGCAGAAACATTAAAAACAAAGCTTACAATGTATGAAAGACTGATAACATCACCCCCTCCTCCTTCTCCTCCTTCTCCCCCTTTCTGTCTCGACCACATAGCTTAATAATGTAGTAGTGTGGACAATTTAAAGGCATCTATTTGTTGACCAATGATGTGGTGCAAAATTATACACCATTAATTTGAAAACTTGGGAAATTACGACATCATACAAAGATTGTATTTCCCAGCATTTTTTACTTACAAAAATATCACTACAGCCTCTTTCTTCAGTACCCACTGTGAAAATAAAATTCAGAATTTAAAACTTGTAAGATAATTATAATCTTAGCGTCTTGAACGGCTTGCGTACAAGGATTTATACCATTTAGTATACAATCACATTGTAAATGACCTTTTGGAACCATACACATGACCTTTCTAATGAATTTTAAACTTCCAGGAAAATGGTTGATTTTAAAGCAGTGTAAATTTTATTGGGGTTTATATCCAGATTTTGCTCTCATATATTTTGTTAGGATTTTTGATAAATTTAAGAGGACAAAAAAAACAACTGGATAATAGACAATGATCAAAGAGAATAAACTACTGTGGAATACTTTATTTTCACTGGAATTAATTTTCGCTGAAAAGGCTTTTTGGGCGTTTCGCTTGGAATTTATTTTCACTGGATTTTATTTTCACAGAATCATCCCTTCAGCGAAAATAGTGAAAATAAATTCCAAGCGAAAATAAAGTATTCTACAGTACATCATTAGTTAATATATGGTACTATACTTACAAATGCTCACAGTGATGTCATAGACCAATGTTACAAAAGCCGATACTTCAAACACGATGATTAAACTGTGGAAAGAAAGTCACAAGTTAATTTGATATCTGGGTATTTCAGATATTTTAATATTTGAAATCATATCGGATCACATTTGATTGGGTCCAGAGTAAAAAAAAAAAACTGTAAAACCATTTATTTTTATTGACATTTAATTTCACTATTTTGATGTTTTGAGAGTATTCACTGAGTTTTGATTCACGAATTTGACTAGGAAGCAATGGGTTATATTGTTATTTTACATGTACACGTAGATTTAATTTAGCGAATTTTACTTATCAGCAAAAATAGCGAAGTGAATAATTAATGCATTTACAGTATTCATGTTTCTTGTCATTACACACATTAGTAAATATCATCACGAATTAGATTTAATTTTTTAAAGGTTTGTGCCAATAAACAATAAAAAAATCCAAGTTTTATAAAAATCTAGATAAAAGTATATTTTTATGACAGTTTTAGAATTTGCATGCAAACATCAACTTAGGAAAACAAATTGACCTAAATTCTTATTTTTGGAGAAACTTATATATAGGATAATTTGTCAAACAAACAGTACAACAAAATTTAGGTAAAAACATTGTCACCAAAAAATAATTATTTGAAGAGATTTCATTTGATCCAATCTTGCCTAAAAATTGACAGAGTTATATTATTATTTTTTTTTCAAAATGAACTACAGTGACAGAAAAAGTAAAATCATGAAGTTAAAAAATCAAAAAAAAAAAAAATTCAAAATCTCACCCCCAGAGGTCTCTCTTCTGTGCGTTTCTGGCTGAGTCAAGCTGTCTAACCTCGTTCAATTTTCTTGTAATAACAATACCAGCAACAAAGAAAACTTGAACAACTACAAACTCTACTGTTGAGAGCATCAACCAATACGGTTCTAAGAAAAAAAAATTAAAATAACAATTTAATTAAGATGAATTGAATTATTATACAGATACCAAAAACAATAACATTTACTACTGTAAAATACTTTATTTTCGCTTGGAAATAATTTTCGCTATTTTCACTGAAGGAATAATACAGTGGAAATAAAATCCAGCGAATATACCTTTTTTCCTATATTTTACATTCAACTTTGGGCCGTAAAAAGATAACGATATGGCTAGCATGAAAGTATTGCAAAGTATTCAGCAAGGCATTATGGGATTGTATTAATCGACAAGCAGCAATGGCCTTTGTGCATAAATTGTAGTAATCTTACAGTCGTATAAGTGAAATGACTCAGTATTTTAATGTATATTTAAAGAACTTTGTTTGACATTTCATCTAGATAGAAAAGCTGATTTATCGTGAATTTTGATTGGATTTAAAATAACATAGATTAAGCATTCCAATAAATAAAATTCACTTTTTCTCTTTATTCTGTTCAGCATTAAACTGAAAAAAATGCAAACTCGTTGTCTTAGAAACTGTAAATATGATGAGGTTATTTCGAGAATACTGCAAAGTATACACAAATCTTACATGGTTGATGCCACCAAGTGCTTATCATCTGTGTCGAATGATGTGTTTAATTTCCCATATGCTATTGCTGCGACTTATGTAGACAAGAAAAAGCCTTGTAATAATTTGAAGCAAATGAGACGACAAATCTCCCACGACAAATCTCCCACCACATACTAATATGTTGGAAGAAGTGCCAATATAATTCACTTGTTTATACAATCAGTACTTGTGTTGCAGTATGACGAGAGATTCGGGTGAGGTGAATCAATTTCAAGAATTACCACATTTTGAGAGTTACTTACGTAAACATTCAATCCAACTGTTTTTAGTTAACACTATAGCCATTATAGTTACAACAGTGAAATATACAAAATTCATCAGCAGAAATGGTTCAAGAACTCTGAAACAAAACAAAGAAGGAAAATGAGTATACAGGACAAAGTTTTATATAGCGCCCTCAACATGCTAGCATTAATAAACTTTTGTTTCTGGGCAATGTGATAGAATGTCTATATTGTGGCTGTGATAATAACAGACAGACGATTACTGGTATTATGAGTGGACATAAAACTGCAGATGTTGATGCAAATAAGAATGAGCGACCTCACTGGCACATAACGTGGTTGTATTGCTGACAAGAAGAACAATACAATGAAATCAATTGGAGAACAGATTATAGATTTCGGTTTCTGTGTTTAATAAGTATGATAAAATGAATAGTGATGGAGGAATAATTGAACAAATAATTAATACAGAAGATAGTTCATATATTCGTTGACCCACAGGGGTAATTATTGTCCCACCTTGGTCAATAATTTTTTTGCGGGGTCAACAAAACTGACCACTGACCTCCATCTCAGTTGAAAGTTTCCTCTCTGAGTAAATCTCAATAACCTTCATAACTGGCAGTGCAGAGAAATCTCAAGTAAGCAAGAAGCAAGGGTACAAAGGTCACTCACCTCCGTATCAGTCGTTCTTTCTTCAGCAACCTAGCTGTATGGCTTAAGTAAAAATGGATGACCATAATAAATTGGACAAGTTTTAAATACTGTATTGAAAAATCGATCTGTGTGTAGTCGTGGGCGTACACCCAGTGAACCGTGCTGTAAAACAAAGATGAAGAATTTGTGTGTAAGGATTTCATTACTAGAAGATGTAATGTGGTTAATGTGGTCATTACCAGACTAACAAGGAACTTTTGGGGATAACGAATCATTATCAGTTTTTTCAATAATTTTCCATAAAATTAAAAATGACTAATGTTTTCATTTTTAACTTTAGAAAGAGTTTAATAACATGGCAAAAATGTGGCTATAATATTGAAAGTGCCAGGCTGATCACCATTAGAAAGGGGGGAGGGGGGGCATGCATATTAGAGCTCCAAGTTGTAGGTTTTCTAACCAAACAAATACTTATCTAATAAGTCATGTATTCTCTCCCCAAACACATCAAAAATATTTATTTAAAGT